GGAGTGCAAGCGCTTATCATCACAGGAAATGTGTTGTTGTATCGACGGTAACAGCATAGGCCAAAAAGTCCTGCAAGTGCTGCTCATGGAACCCTCTTTTTTTTCGTCCATAGCCGCGCGAGTAGTTGCATGACGACTCGATGGTAGCTGCTCTTGCCGCTACAACTAGTGTATTTGCGGTGAGGCCTTCGCCTGACAGCAGCAATAGCAGAGCAGTTTGCAGCTGACTGGAGGTTGGTGATCCTACCTTGCAGCTAGGCCTGGGCGCTTTCTTGTATGAGGAGGATGCAACGAACGTACAGACCAACCGACTGACTGGACCTATCTTCAGGTCCGACTCACGTTGCCTATGATTCCTACTAGCATACGCCACATGCATATCAGCGAACGAAATAATAGCGGAGTACACCGAGAATTGGGTAAGTTGTAGCAAGACGGCGAAGGGAAGCCGACGTCTACGAAGGTGACGGGCAAATGAACAGAAGGGAAAATTCAAAAAGACCCAAATTATGCCGCCCACAGCATAGAACGCTCTATTTGGAACGTCCGCCTTACGAATGCCACTGACGTTCTCATCAAATCTGATCCTGGCATATTCGCGTGAATAGCACGAGTCATAAGAAGTTAGATTGCTATCGAAGGCGGTAAAACTCGCAAATAATAACACCGAGTAACACACGACGACAGTTTCAAGTAAAGAATAATTTCGAACAAAAACTAAACATTGTTTCAAATATTAGATAGTGATAGCTTCTGCTTTCTGATCTTATTTTGCGCATTTAGGTATTAATCTACACAACCATGGCGAGGCTACAATACCTTTTACAGAAGTAATCAACTGCACGTTCGTCTGACTAATTCATGACAAGATCATGTACAACTAGAATCAGTAAGTTCGCTAAGAATATCTTCAATTCAGCTTTCGAAATTCGCAAGTTACTAAATTAGCGACCTTCCTTATGTCACCGTGACAAATCAACCAGCAGAAACTATTAAAACATTTCCGTCATACCGTAAAAGTTTCTAAACATCAACTACATTTTCATTCATTTTGCGTCTGAGTGAAGTCGGTTTTGTTTCGACTGTTAACTCAAGACGTCATTTTCAGCTGACGTTAACGTTTTCACGGCAACTACACCGCGACAAACAGACGTTATCTGCGCCCCCTTCACTCCTAATTTACGATTTACCTAAGTAGCTTTCCTATGGTACTGAGTAGCTGTGCAAAAATCCGAATGTACAAGCCAGCTCGAGGATTCATCTCTCTATACAGCTGTTCCTGGAGATACCGGCGTTGGCCAGCTCCTGTCTAAACAGGCGATCTTAGTTAAGTGTGCTTCCTCAACTGGCCAAACGGATATTAGCATCGGATGTAAGTCTTTTACAAGAAATATAGGCACTAGATAGAATATAGAAAAGCTGTATCACTCGATCACAGTTCTAACAGTCACTTCCGCACGGTTGCGAAAAATTGTGCGTCCGCAGTTATAGCGCTCGCTTTTTGAGGTTGTGTCCTAATTTACCTTTAAATGATGGATGACTGTGCCCTTAGTTTGCTATCCAAGTGGATCCTCTTCTTTCATTTCACTTTATTAGCAAAATACGACCGAAAGTTATCCACTTCGTACTAAACGAACTTCTCGCTTGAACGACAAACTAAATTTACGTTTATTAATCCAATAAGTGATTTAGCTCGAATTGGTCCTACTCACCCGTGGGGCACTTAGGTGTGCAGGTCGAAATTTTATTTTGCAACGATTCTTTAATTCGACAGACCTTTATGTTCGGCAAATTAGCCCAGACTACACACGGATTATGGCTGAATCGATAACAGTAGCAGTGGTTATCGTCAATTTTGTATATATGCATATATTACAAAAAAAACTATACGATCTGTTGAGCGATTCCGGTCAGAGCCGTGAAAGAACAGACCGAGGAAGTACAGAGATCGTGACACATAGTTTTTAGCGTAATCGAGAGTACGCGATATGCAAACGCAAATTTTCTGCTAGGTTACAATTAAATTGGTGGGTTATACGAGGGCAGCTTTTGTTATTACGATCATTATCATGATCCTCATTTTGGCGGAAAGCAACCAGGAAAGTCCTGGCTTCTCTGAGACTACGATGGCTAAAAATGTATTATGAAGAAGCTTTAGATTTCCGTACTGCGGCAGGCCGGTGTCAACAATAAAAAATGACCCGATCGTAGGCTTACACGATTGATTCATGTACGTTCCAATATTCCAGCGATGCAGGACCTTCTACCTTCTCACATATTCAACAGCTTTCCAGGACAGGATTTACGAAGAAAACAAATTTTGTTATACATTAGTGCTTTCTTTCCTTTACTTGGGAAGTCTGAATAATTTGTATTGTTATTGCTTTGTTATTTTCAGCTGTGACCTCTGCCATCCGCTACTGCTGGATGCTGACCAGTGTTGGTAGCGGATCGTACCCAAATGCTGTGGAGGCTGTATTTTCAGTATACGAAATGTACGGCAGCTGTTTTAGAGCCTTTTGCTAACCCGACCGTTTATGATGTTACTGTGACGATGCTAGTATGGCTATGTGCAGTTCGAGCTATTCTTTGGTGCACCGAGCTCTACGTACATCGCTGCCCGCACGACAATCGTACCGCTATTAAAAATGCTCTTAAACTGTAAAACATAAATATTGTTATTGTGCATACAGCACGTGCAAAATCTGCACGTGCATGCACTGGTGAGCAATAAACTGTGACACCGTTTTCCTACAGAGAAGTCGTTATTCCTAGTTTTCCTATTGACCAGAATACTTGCACGAGGTAGCTAGCGTAATCTAAAATAACGAGCGCACGCCATAAATCATCTTGATCTTACTATTGTTTATTGAGATAGCAGATCGAATCAAATTGAACACAGCCTTCCTTGACTAGTGCAAAGAATCGAAGGATATTTGCAAAATATTCTAAATAAATAATCAGTCTATCCTAAACGCTCTATATGACCAAATAGTAGCCGTTATGCGACCTAGTTTTCGTACCGCAAAGGCAGTATAACTGAGGTGATATTAGTTAATAGATAACTGCTTTGGGTTGATCGATACGCTTAAGCAATGCCCGGCCGGCGTCCGAACTCTCAATGGCGTTCCCGCTTAAACCATTTACTACCTTGACAGGTCTTATCATTTTTCCAGAGGAGTTCAGTGATGCGACGAAGTGAGAAGACATCTACACTGAAAATTCTTGCCGCTTCGCTGAATGCCTACGAAAAAGAATCACACCCTATAAAGTCGCATACAGCAAGCCAAAACAGTGTTCGCCGTAAGAAAAAAAAATGGCCAAACTACGCAGCTAAGTGACCTTCAAGTGTTTCAAGGAATAGAACGCGCCCATTTACAATGGCAAAATGTTTATATGTGTCTTTGTGACAGCCGTTTCCTGGTGTGTTCTACCATTGCATTTACATAAAGTCTGTGGAATATTGAAGTCAAACTCCTTCTAAATCACAAAACCCTAAGTGTAAAAATTCCTACATGCCCACCGCGAAGATAAAGAGAAGCTTGCAGGAAGATAGGTGATCCAGTAACCATTTTTATTTACACGGACAGGTAAACCCGATAGGAGGCTATCGACGTGACCTTTTTGCAAAGGTTGTAATGGTATAATCAAACAAGTATAAGTTGATAACTTTGCATGTAGCCTACATGTGTGAAGCTATACGTTTTTCTGTGCATTTTTCAAGTTTTGCGTTTGTAGACTCAAAGGACAATGTTTTATTTAACTTTTGGAAATTCGCATACGACGTGGCCTCAAACGGCAAATTAGCAAATGGCCGATTTAAGCTGAACTGTAATAGAGAAGAAATGGTCAGGGTGCCTTTTTTCTCGCTCGGAGACGCCAGACAGACTATAATTTTGTTAACGGTTCGCCTATTTTCATTGAAGGTGGGGAACTATAGTTTAGTTTCAGTGCAATAGTAATTACATCCGTTGTCAAACAAGCGTTTCCGGTGTAGTGTTGTTGTCGGCTGAATCAAGCTGCGGCAGGCATCTCTTTCCGCCCTCGGAAGTCTCTGCAGTGGCTCCGCTGGGGTTCTCTGTTCCGAAGCAACGACCACGAAGAAGAAGAGGAGGTAGTATCGATTTCAAAGAGCAGAAAAACGAACGACCGCTCTTTGCAAACTCCTGAATCCTTGTGTGAGCGTTTTGTTTGCTCTTTTGTACGCTCCCGTCTTCCAAACAGGAACTAAGCCATTAGATCTAATCCAAACATCGTATAACCTCTCGAAAGCTGTATCAGTGACGCTGGATCGATCCATTTTACGCTGCTCTAAGGTTGTTAATATTCGCACAAATGGCGACCTATGTGTCCTGTTGTAGTGCATATTGCGTAACACGACTTCACGACCTTACGTATACACAGTGCCGCCGAACGCAAGAGAACATTTTGTTTCTTCCCTAAACTTCATAAGTTAATGTTAAGGTTACTAGTGATAAAAAAAAAAGTTTCAAGATTAATATAAGTATTACGCAGAACGACGTAACCTATTCCAAACCGTTACGAATACGAATAGCTGCAGAGACTCCCTCCACAGGAAGACTGGTTTCTTCACGTCATGCACGGCCAGACTAAGTCCGTTGTTGTACGTAGATAGTTATCTATAATGTGGTCATTGTCTTTACTAAATGACCTTACCAATTATCTAAATAAAAGGCCACAAGGAAGGGTGATGTTGGTCACTTAAGACTACATGGAATCGCATGAAATCTAATTATCATCAAAATACGAGCAAACTGTTGCAGTTCTCGGGAGATGGTACCAGCACAACGTACCGATGTGCCTTAACCTTGTACACCTCGCGCAGCCGTTGAACATGCGATGCAGGTCATTGTTACGGGATTGCAGGAGCTTCAATGTCAAGATGTTTTGATAGTTCCTACTAGATATTCCATTTGGACTATGCTATTGAAGTCTAGCTATCACTAGTAAACAGGACTTCCGTGTTTTTTACTACTTACCCGTAATTAGAACGTGTCGTTGCTGTAGTGTGTGAAACACGTCCTGTATGTTTAAGGGTCCTTCCGTCACGTCATCTGAAGTTAGAAAAACAATAAACAACAACAACAACGAATACTCGTCACTTGTGGATTCTGTCAAGTGTTCGATTTAAATAAAGACAACGAAGCGAGCCTTTAGATGACTTTCTTTTCCCCCTTTCGCCATGTCTCTCTGTTTGTTTTATCGTCTGCTGGCACTAAGCAGTCCCCAGGGTTCCTACCTACAAACACATTCGCTTTTTAGACAATGCTTATTATTTAAAGGAAAAAAATACAGACAACTATAATTGTTGTTTAGACACACTTCTAGAAAAAAGGCTTTCCTTACAAATGCGATATTTTTCCAAAATAAATATTTTTTTTTTCGTCTCTTATCTTTGCGCCTGCAGAAATAACGGCCCTCTGGTCGATAAGCAATTACGGATGCGAACATAAAAAATTGTGGAATAGAACAAAGTTCATCTTGCATATGGTGCTTTATTTAATTACTTCGTTTGTAAATTATGTTGGACGTCTGTGCGTGCAGAATTCGCATGAATGCAGACCATACAAGGGCTTTGGTTAAGCACGTCCAATATATGCCCAGCACTATGCAGTTACCCTATAGCGCCCCTACGATCCTGGCCATATATTACTGATAGGGTCTAACTAGTACCTTTCTTTTGTCGTTCGTCTAACATATAGCCTATATATTGATACTGGCGACAGCAGACATCGATGCTGCTAGTTTTACATGATGTAGGTTCTGTGTATCGGGGAAGCTCGTTAGGAATAAAGGATTGATAATAGCTTCAATTACCGAAGCAGCTGCAGTTCTTCTGATGGTGTAGTGGGTAGACAATGTTTTTGCTTGCTAAATTTGAGGAAAGGTAGTAACTTAGGTTCGATTCGTACTGGAGGTCAAGAGTTTGAAGTTATGCCGAACAGCTTAGTTACCAGCCGTAAAAAAGCATTGTTTACTCATAGTAAAATACAGTAGGAACTGTAGCACATTTGCACGATGGACTTAGCCATCGATTTCCAACACATTCTTGATACGTTATATCTATTGAAGTTTTTTACAAATGGGAATAATAAGTTGCGTGCGCGCGTAACGTGAGTCGCATAAGCTAATCCCATTCTAAGAAGAACTTTTAGATTTTCTAAACCTGAAACTCCTACAACCTTTTTCTTTGATACACATACAAGATATTCCCTCCTGTACTCGAAACTCATTTGAAAAAGCCTAGAAATCATATCATTTTTTGAAAATACGCTTAATAAATTTACCCGATTTCTAACTCTGTCCAGCCTACGCAGTTTCTAACAGTTAAATTCCATCGTACATTGAGAATATCTATATCAATGTACATAAGTTGCTTTTGAGTTTCGATAATCTAGTTAAAAGTTATGTACCTTTCTACGAAGGCTGCACCAAGAGAATGCAATTTTGTACATGTAGAATTAACAAAGTCAACTTTACCAAGGATCAGCGGAATCATCACACAACTGTTGACATCGCGATGAAAGTGCCGCGTCATTGAAGTTGTGGCATTGACTAAGCAAGGTCCACTGTCATCGAGCGGCAGGGACGAGGACAGGGCGGGCGCGTACTATTTTGGGGAACAGATTTAGGTGACCCCTGCTAGATCGTCTAACTGTCTCTGTGGTTGTTACTAGTTTCATATGAAGACAACAGCAGAACTCCACAGGTCTAGCTTGTCTATGTCGATCTTCGCTTGGAGGCCTAAAGCTTATATTAATTTTAAGATATTCGTTTGTACTATGACCCTGCTTAGCCTTTCTAACAAACGACTTTGGCATTGTTTACTTTCACCATGTCTACACATGATTCTCTGTACCTATGCAGCCGAACTTAAATATTTAATTACTACGGCGTTAGTTAAGCTTTTGATATGCATCACGGTGGGTTGACGCAACCTCTCGATTATGCACGTATTCTCATTTTAACGTCTTTCCGAAAATAAAGGGGGTAAAAAATAGACTAGTATTTGAAGCTTATAGGATATGGAACAATTGTCGGTGTCATCTGGCAACGAAGTAAGCATTGCTGTGAGTTCTGTTGGCATTAACAGCATCAACTTGACTAATAAATACTAATGACGAGCTACTTGCTATAAAACATGGTAGCCTGTAAGCTGGGATGTCTTTCCTTTTTAGAAGGAGTTTCGCTGGAGGGCCAGTTCTACTCGGGGGCGGGGGGTCGTATACTTATATCGTACGTTCGAAAGCGACCTAGACAGCAAGTTTTATATTAAACGCTTTTACAACCATATTTTAGACAAGTATCGTTCGTAGTCTTTCTCTTGTTTGAGTAAGTCAAATTAATATTATGCTACTGCATTCGTCAATCTCATCCGTGAAACAGCGTGTCTCTAAATAGCCTATGATTAATGACAGCTCCCTATCATGTCCTAGGATACATCATAACAGGATCTTCATACACGTAAGATATAATAATACAATAAGATGGCAAAGCTTTTTTGCTTGTTTATAACTGGTTGGGGAACATAACAGCTCATTATGACATATGGGTAGAAACCTGTAGAATACTGCAGCGGCAGCAGTTTGTGTAAAATCGTAGAGATGTTTCTTCTCGTCGTTCATCTTTACGCGCAGTCCGGGCTGGGCTGGGATGGGATGAGATGTCGCTATCGTCTGGTTGTTAGGAGTTGTTGTTTCTGCCAGGGTATATAATATACAGTTATCACATATCGCAAAATCGCTTTCTCCAGATTTTTGTATGAGCAACGTGCTGCGTCCGTTCTGCCCCTAGACAAACTTTATAATGGCTTAGTAGTTATATTGTACTTGCCTCTACCTAGTCTTTTCATTGATCGCGTTGTCGTGCGCAGTCTTCTACGCAGAAAAGGGGTCGGGCCGAACTGTTAGCTAATAACTCTGTCAGGAGATACGGAACAGAAAAAAAAGGAAATCCGCTTCTTTCCCTTTCTCGTAAATTCAATGAACGGGCGAGCAAACGGCATACCGTCAGTAGATACTTCGGGGTGATAACATGGAAAGATGCTGATAGTCGGTTGAAGAAAATTGGTGCTGGGACTGGATACAGCGATAGCGACCATTCAATTGGAACTTTCAAAGTATTCAAACAAAAAAGAAAGTCCGAATACAAATAACACCAGCCACACTAAAAACTTAAATAAAGGAATAAGCAGTTTGCTATTTGCGTTGAATTGGATCGGGTTAAGGCGTGTGCGAGAGCCAAGAGAGTATTGCATTGGTGTATCTTGTCCGTTGTATTTATTGTATTTTCTCCTGACGATTCTAGCACGTTCATTCTCGCGGCTTCACAGACGTACATATAAAATACACACACACACGAACTATCCACTCATTGACCAACTTCTACACGTGTGCGCAGACGACTGACTACTCTCGTATCTCCAGTACCCCCAACATGTAAACAAGGGGTCGTCTAGGCCTTGTACAACGAAACACGAAAAACATCTTGTTTTCATGGAATAAAATGCGCACAGTGAAGGAGCTGCGCGGAGACCGACCTGTTTTAACAGAAAGCTCGATTGCCTAGCAGTAGGCTGTGAACGGCCGACTGGAGAAGACTCAAAAGCTCCTTTTCGTTGCTATCGTTGGCCGCTCGAAGGGGATCCCTTATGTACCCGACTGAGGAACACCACGCTCTCTAAGCATTCCGCTTGACGAGAATACAGATAAAGGATAATGAAAAAGAGCAGTGTACGAAATTATCGTCGTGTACCAGAGAACGACGAGGACAGGTCAGACATCCCCTTCAGCCTACATCTCCACTTGGTTCAGAGAATTTGGTGCTTCTAGTTTTCTCGTACCAGCCGTTTCCAGCTTATTTTCCATACTTTTCCTTCTACTATCATCAGTCGCACGGTTGAAAAACAACGGACACGTACATACGACAAATAATTGGACTGACGATAGCTTGACAAGACGGAGTGATGAGAATGAGCTGTCTGCTAAAGCACAGTTGCGGGACCCAGACGCATGCCGAAAAGGCCGACTGAACCTTAGAGATCCAAGAGACTGGGCAGTGGATGACTGGGAATCGTTTCGCTAAGGTACTATCCCCGGAAAGCCGGGATACGAGCGGTTCATGTTATCGAATAACTGTCGTGAAGGGCATCGGTTGTTTGTTGCGCTTGTTCAGGACAGGACGGGTCTCAGGCCTTGTCTGATATCTTCTGAGGAAGGGAGTGAGCGTCGCAACGTTGTTGGTGCTATGGTACAATGTACCGAGAGGAAGCGACAGCGGCACTTAGCTAAAGGAACCCTGATTTGTCTTGCGGGCACTGATTTGTCGCACCGCGGTGACTACAACGAAGAATCGGAAGACGCATGTCATACATTCGCCCGTTGACGTGCATACACGCAGAGCTGTCCTGAGAAAAGTACAAGATGATGTTCTGGCGAAGAAAAGCAGAAAAAAAGGTTTACAAAGAAGCAGAGGTTGAGAAAAACAGTTTTCTTCCGGACCTTCTCTTTCCTGATGTTATGCGCAAAAACGCGTGAAAAGACGCAAGAGCATTGGACTTCCGCCTTCCATGCGGGCTTTCCGTGCTTCTTACAACATCGTCTTTTTGTGGACTGGACTGGGCACATGGAGAAATGCCTCTTGATAAGGCCTACTGCCTTCGCTATGGTTAAATGATGCTTAATTATGGCACAAAAAGCAAATAATACAAGGCACAAGTAAATCACCTTGTTTACACTAATTTAATTGCGTTCTGCTGCTTGTTGGCCTTTGATGTTCTAAAATGGGAAAGTTGAGTACTGTGTAATTACTAATAACCGTCACATGAAGTAATTTCACCTTGACTTATGACATTGGAAACTTTAGAGTTTGATTTCCCTTCCGGCCTGCATATTCTATTAAAAGGCTCAACGCTAAGGAAAAAGCTCACGGGGTAATTACTATCACGCGGCGCTCTTTTCTGGTTTTCAATTTGAGGTTTAGATCGTGAGCAGCAGGGGATATTTCTGTTGCTGTTTACTCATGTCTGAGCATAGCTCACTTACTTACAATGACG